CGTGTGAATTGAATTGAATGAGGACAAAAGTAATAATAGTTGTGTACTATATTAGTATAAACCTACTAATAATTATAAATTTTGTTGGCCATATTAATTAATGTAATATGTTCATAATTAAAATGATAATTAAATTAAGACCCATGCGATGTGGGGGGGGGGTGTTGATTAGTTTTTAATTATTTTAAGATTATTTTTCATATAGTTAATACTTTTATATTATGATCTTACATGTGATCAAAAGTAAATCAGTGGCCAGCAACACGTTGTGGTTTCCAATGTCAGGTGAGGAAAATAGGGAGGTGCACCTGCAAGGCACTCCGATGCTAAAGTAAGTTTAGAGTGAAAGAAGGCAAGTACATTAAGAAAATGAATTGAATTGAATACCTGACCCTTCTTTAGAGGAGGGTATTTATATAGAGCCTCCATCGCTGGCCCAATGGTATCCACTATGGGCAGAGTGATCAAGCCCATAATGGATGACTTCAATAATTTCTATGTGGAGGTAGGGATGAGCAGCTCGTGCTCATCATCTTGGGCCAACTGCCCCGCATCCTCTAAAAGTTGGAAGACTTGCCCGTAACGAAGGCCATAATGTTTTTGCGAAATACACGGGATCAATTGGCCACGTGTCTTCGGGTTAGGAGCACGTGGGGAATGTGCTCTCCAACAGCTATAATGGATTGAGCCTTTCTGTTGGGCCTTCTTCGATGCGGAGCTGGACTTGGTTGTGCTCGACGGTGGGTCAGTCCTAGGCCCAGTCTAGAATATATTATAATAATGGATTCTGAATTTCATTTGACAAATATAATCAATATACATATTTATTTGAACAACAATATGAATTAACAAAAATAAAAAGAACAATATAAGCTAGTATGTTGAGAGTAACATATAAAATTTATTTTTACAAATTTAAACAATTATAAAATATATAATCGATGTTTTATTTATTATTTTCATTTTGATTTCTTTTTTTATACATATATCTTATTTAAATATTTATTTTAATTGCTTACATATGTCTATGTATAATGTGATGCACAATATTTTTATATTTTAGTTGTTATATTTTGAAATTGTTAAAGTAAAATTTTAAATTTTTTATATAGAACTACAAGAAACTGTAGTAAGAAAGAAATAGTTGATACAAAAAATTTCTTTTGACAAATATAAAAAATATATTTTTTTATACAGCAAAAGGATTTTTTTTTTGAATAATGCTTTATATAAAACCAAAAAAGAGTATATACAAGGGTATAGAGGACCCCAACCACAAAACAACCAAAAACCATAACTACTCTATAAGTAATTGAGCTATATGATGTCTCATTCTAGTATTCATCCACCCTCTATTCGCAAGGGTAGAAATGACTAAATCTCTAATATCCAAAACATTCACCGGATTTCCAAAGACGACATTGTTACGATACCTCCAAACTTCATGGATGGTTTCCGCTACAGCACTACACAGAATGCACTTCCTCCAACCTTTATCTTTGCAATGCGTGATTAACCACTCAAGTTCCTCACGCCATTCACATGGAAAATGTTGAAACCCCAACCACACAGGATTTGTTGCCAACAGGTTTTAAACGGTGGACAATCAAATAAAAGGTGATCAATTATTTCCTCCTTATCACAGAAATTACATATGCCGTCAGTCGTAAGGCTAAGTCTTTTGAGCCGTCCCCTTGTCGCAATAGGAATTAATGACAAATAAAAAGAAAAATGTAAGCCGGTAAATTGGGAGTGACATATTATATTTATTTTTACAAATTTAGATTATTATTAAATATATAATTGTGTGTGTGTGTGTGTGTGTGTGTGTGTGTGCGCGCGCGCGCGTGCGTGCGTGCGTGCGCGCGCGTGCGTGCGTGCGTGCGCGCCAAATATAGGCAATATATATTTTTGGAACATCATTATGAATTAATGAAAAATAAAAAATAAAATATATACAGGTAAATTGAGAGTGACATATAAAATATATTTTTAAAATTTTAAATAATTAATTAAAGATATAATCGGTGATTTATTTTTTATTTTGATTCTCATTTCTTTTTTATATTAAGTGTTAATTATTTTGAGACTTATTTTTAAATATATAGTTAATATATTTATATTATAATAATATATTGTGAATTTCTTTTGACAAATATAATCAATATATATTTTTTGAATATTGTTATGAATTAATAAAAAATAAAAATAAAAATATATACCAGAGAGTGACATATAAAATTTATTTTTACAAATTTAAATAATTATAAAAGATATAATTGGTGGTTTATTTTTTTTAATTTTCATTCTCATTTCCTATTTATACATATATCTTACTTAGATATTTATTTTAAATGTTTGGATATGTATCATGTGATGCACAATATATATATATATATATATATATATTTTAATTTTAGCTGTTAAGTTTTGGAATTGTTAGAGTCAAATTTTAATTTTTTTTATATATAACTACAATAAAAAAAGTTGTAGTGACAAAAAATAGTTGATACAAATGAAGAGGGATGTTAGCTTCGATGTGCTCCAATTTTTCAATGACGCTATTCTACTTTGTGATGGATCGCATACCAACTAATGGAGTATCAAAGTTGTTCTGCAATCTTTTGAATTGGTTTCAGGACTCAAAATAAACATGGCAAAGAGCAAACTTTATGGTTTGAATCTGCAGGAAATTTTTTTGGCTTCCACAACGTCCTTTCTTTCGTGCGGGGTTGGTTTCGTCCCGTTTACTTTCTTAGGAGTGGATGTCGATATTAATCTGAGGAAGATTGCAACTTGGAATAAAACTATCTTTACATTGAGGAATCAGTTGGCAACTTGGAAAGGAAAATTGTTGTCCCAAGGAGGAAGAATTACTTTGATAAATTCAATTATCGTAAACATGTCGGTTTATCCATTATCGTTTTACAGGGCTCCCAAGAAAATTATTAAGGAAATAATTAGCATTCAACAACGGTTTCTTTAGGGAGGCGATCTCAGGCACATAAAAGTTTGTTGGGTGAGCTGGGATTTGATTTGCAAGAGTAAGAAGAAGGGCGGCTTGGGAGTTAAACATCTCGGCAATTTCAATCAAGCCCTCCTTAGTAAATGGCTTTGGAGAATCATGTCAAATCTGTCCCACTTTGGAAGGATCTACTTTTTTTTTCTAGATACGAGGATCTCCATTCAAAGATTCTTGGATGTTCTTTATGACCGTGGAATTATAGAGATTCATTATGATGGAGAGATTTGTTGAATGTTTGAGTCATACCTCCTTCTTTTTGTAGCTGGTTTTCGGATATGATATGATGTAAATTGGTTCAAGGTAATTATATCCGTTTTTGGAACGCGAGATGGGTGGGTAATGAGACGTTGTCCTCCGTCTTCCCTATTATCTATCGTTTAGCCGCAATTCAGATGCAAAGGATATGGAAGAGGGCTGCTGGAACAATGCAGAGTGGCAATGGCATTTGAATCTCAATTCAGACTCGCTTTCTACAGCATAGCAGCAACATCACCTGAAGTTAGAACAACTGCTGGTGAGAATTTCTCCTTCTCGTAGCGAGCCTGATAGTTTCATTTGGTGGTTGGCGAAGAATTGTTTTTTGGTAAGAAGCTTCTTCGATATTATTCACACTTACTGCTTTTTGATTGAATCTCCATCGGTTTGTCAGATTTTGAAAGAGGTGTGGAGAACAAAAATTCCCAGCAAAATTTAGGTGTTCAGCTGGAAACTGTTACTCGATCGCATTCTTTCTAAAGTCGACCTGCGGCGTCGAGGTTTGCTTGTTGGGAAGGAATCTTTGGTTTGCAATTTATGTTCTTCCGTAGATGAAGATGTCAACCATATTTTCTAATCTTGCTCGTCTTCTGCATCAATTTGGATTCAGGTTTGCAGCTGGCTTCGCATCAAGGAGGTTGGTTTGGTGGAAGTTGTGGCTGATCACTTTGTATTGTTCGTAGATAGTTTTGCTAAAGTTTACGGTAAGCAGAATGCTTGTTTGTTCTGGTATTGTGTGTGCTGGAATATTTTGATTCAGAGGAATTTATTCATTTTTAAATCAAAGGAGGGAGTGGGTTGACAATGTATGATCCATATCAAAAGATCCAGTTGAGAGTGATTTCTAACTTTTTCTGAGGATCTTAACGGTTTGGGTTGGGGATAATCGTTGCATGACCCTTCTTGTTTTTTCTTGTAATTCTGCGGTTTTTCTTTGAGCGCTTGTTGTTTGTGTGTCTCTTCTTGTATTAAAGATTTAGTGCCCCTTGTACTCCTCGTAATACATAATTGCTTATAAAAAAAATAGTTGATACAAAAGTTTATAAAAATAATACAAATTTGTCTTTGATAGTATTCAATCCCATGACATTTCATAGAAAATAAGTATGTGTATTTTTTTTAAAAGTGAACAAGAGTTTTGGAATGTGCTATGTAAGAATTTAGATGATCTAACGCACAAATAGTTAAATATTTGAAGTGTTAATGAAATATTATATTATTCTAATTTAACATATTGTATAGATTAGTGACATAAAATGAAGGAGTTTAATTAGATTAAGGGAGGGTTAAAAAATAAAATTAATACTAATGAAAATTCTTATTATTATAGTAGATAGGAACATTTAAAATCATCAAAGCATATTTCATGTGTCCAGACAGCATGATAGATATCTTACACTACAAGTCATGTACACAAATATAAAATAACTCAACATAAAACTATATGCGACAATGCATACAACAAGTGTATTCCAAGGCTTGAATTAGAAAAGAATAATCTTGTCAACGCTTCCATCCTCTGAATCATAGACATAGACATAGCTCCTCTACTCCAAATACAAATAGCTAACAATGGCAGAGATAAAGTGATTTCATCAAATTACCTCAACTAACATTGCAGCTCCCACACTGATTATTTCTTTGCTATAAGTTTTGAGACACACTTAATCATGAAAAAATAAAACATAGAAGAAACAACACTACAACATGAATAAAAACCTCAAACATTGTTCTTCCATTTTTGAATTAGCTTCTGAATGGTAACCTCGCATTCTCCACCATTACTTATAGCCTTCATGGCTCCCTCTTTAACCTTCATGGCTCCCTCTTTCAACACTTCATTTTCCATAATCTCTTTTATAGCATCTCCAATTTCATCTCCTTTCACTACACGTTCCCCACCCCAACCCCAACTCTTTTTCCAAATCCCCCAGGCACTAATCTCAACCAACTTTGCATTTACCTTCTGATCTCCATGCTGTGGCCAAGCCAATATTGGTACACCATTCAAACTTGCTTCCGTTATTGAGTTCCATCCACAATGACTCACAAACCCTCCAACACTTTTGTGACTAAGAATCTCACTTTGATCCACCCATTCCTTAACCACCAAACCCTTCTCCTTCATTCCTTCCACAAGTTCAACACCTAACACTTCATCTAACCCTACTTCTTGGTCTTCTCTGTCAACAATCTTGTCCTTAACAACCCATACAAATTTGTATCCACTTCTCATTAACCCGTTTCCGATCTCTCTCATTTGTTCTCTTTTCAACACTGTTCTGCTTCCAAAACATACATAAACAACAGATCCAATAGGTTGATCATCTAGCCAAATAGTCAACGGTGTTGATGTATTTTTCTTGTCAAACTCAAAAGGAAGAAAAGGACCAACAGCATAGACAGGAGGCATATTTTTTATAACTTGTCCATCATTAAGAGCTTTTAGTGAGTGAGATTCAAGTGATTCAAATGTGTTGACAAAAACACCATGAAATTTTGATAGGTTAGGACTATCTTCCCTTATTTGGTTTCCAAAAATGGTAGTAGGTTCCAAAAGAATTGGGGAGATATATGAATATGGTAAAGGTGAAAACGGAAGACCTGGAACTGGGAATGAAATCTCAGGAGCATCATCATCAGATTTGGACTGAGCAAGAGTAGGGAAGTGAGAGAAGAAAGACAACATGGCAGCTGAAGAAGTGAACAAAGCGTAGTTAGGAAGAGAGAGTTTTTGAGTGATGGAAAGGAGAGGGGTAAGAAGGAAGATGTCGGAGATGAAAATAGAGATTGATGGTGAGAGTGAAGAGATCAAAGGAGGGAGAAGGTGAGCTGAGTGACGGAGGGTTTGGAGTCGGTGGTAAAAAGGATCGACGGAGGTGGGAGAAGGAGAAGGTGGTGGTGGAAGGTGAAATGGGAGGAGGTTGAGTTGAGGGAAAGAAGAGTGGAAGTGAGAGAGGAGGCGTGATTCGGCGTCAGAGACGGTTGGAAGAGGAGTGATGAGAGTGAGTTTGCAATGGTGCTTGAGAAGTAAGGAAGCTAGTCTTAGGAATGGTGTGAGATGACCCATTCCAGCGCTTGGGAACATGACAACATGAACACAAGATTCGTCAGACATTTTAGATAATTGCTTCTGTGAGTAATGGTTTCTTTCCTAGTTTGATGTCGGATTTGAAAGAGAGAGAAAGATAGATATAGAGAGACGTAGGTTAGGTAGGTAGGTATATGATGGCAAATGTTTGATTTGAGAATTCGTTTTTATAATACCCACGTTTCTCAACTTAAAAGTCACAATCACAACCATTGGGGTAAATCGGGTTGTCTCATTCGTTTTTAAGGTTCAGACTTTTTTGCAGGTTAATTTTAAGAGTGTTTATTGAGTCTTGGCATTTTTCTCAAACTCTATGAAAGCGTGAGAATGTCATCTTGCACCGTTTGGATTTTAAAATCCAGACATGGCACACACGATACAAAATATTAAGGCCTCGCGAAACGAATTTTTTACATTTGTGCCATTTTTTTACAACTAAAATTCCATATTGTCACACTCTTCAAAGTATATACCAAAATGCCATGATTTTAAGGCACTGCCGCCCTTTCAATGGGCGGTCATGTTGGGATTTAAAGGCACCCGCCCTTTCAATGGGCGGTTGAGGACAATGGGTTTTTTTTTTTTCGTTTTATGTTATTTTTTATTATTTAATATAATAATATTAATTAATAATAATAATAATAATAATAATTATTATTATTATTATTAATAACAATAATTATTATTATTATTATACTATAATAATTATTATTATTATTATTATACTATAATAATAATTATTATTATTAATAACAATAATTATTATTATTATATAATAATTATTATTATTATATAATAATTATTATTATTAATAACAATAATTATTATTATTATTATTATTATTATTAATAACAATAATTATTATTATTATTATTATTAGTAACAATTATTATTATTATTATTATTATTATACTATAATAATTATTAACAATAATAATTGAATTAGAAATAATGTATTTTAAAATATTTAGTTTTAATTATTTTCAATTTAATTAGTAATAATAATAATTGATGTGGAAATAATGTATTTAGTTTTAATTATTTTCAATTTAATTAGTAATAATAATAATTGATGTGGAAATAATGTATTTAGTTTTAATTAATTTAAATTAATTAGTAATAATTATAACTGAATTAGAAATATATAATAATAATTATAAAATAAATAACAATAAAAGAACTAAAATAAATATTTATTAATTTTTGAAATTTAATATGTACATTACAATTTCTATTGACCCTTAACTAATTTCGACCCGGTCGACGTAAGCGTTGGTGGGTTCCACAGGCAGGAGCTTGTACATTTCTGGTGGACCTTCTACGATCAACCTCAGCGTTTTGGGTCTGCGTAGATGGTCCTGCATCATTGTTAGGGTTCATGAATTGAGCGACCAAATCATCATTGAAATCGTCGTCAGCTGCCGCACTTCCATAACTTAATCTCGTACCCTCATTACTCCAAGTTGGTGGGTTTATAGGTGGCGCCGCGTTAGTCATGTAGGGTGTGTATGGATGTTGGTCTTGTTGGGAAAGGGTGAAGTTTTGTGAAGGGTAAAAAGGAACGTGTGTTTGGGGTGTTTGGTAGTTATGTTCTTGTTGGGTAGGTTGAGAGAATGAGAATTGGTTATATTGGGTGTATGATGAGGTTGGGTTTTGTTGTTGGATGTTGAAGGGGTTTGGGTTAAATGATGTGTAAGGTTGATTGTAGTGCTGGCTTGGGGTATAAGGTGGTTGTGTTGGGTTTGGGTTGAATGGGGTGTTAAATATTTGTTGTGGGGTGTTAAATATTTGTTGTGGGGTGTTAAATATTGGTGGTTGGGTGTCATAAGTCATGGAGGGGGTGTTTTGGAAGTTTGATGAAGTTGGTTGGTTTCGAGGGTCCCACAAGTATCTATTTTGTGATAGATACAAATTGGTCACAGATCTATACCAACTCATGTATTCTCTACTTGGTTTACATTCGGCATCCATGACATTTCCTCGTAGAACAGTGCGGCGACGATCCATCCATTGTTGTCGTTCTTGTCTGTTATGGTCTCTCCAATCATCGAATTTCCATTGGTCGCTCGCTACACTTTTGTGGTACGTATCCATGCATCCCACCAGCGCATATGACAACCCTGCCACTAAGCATAGAAGGAACATCATTTGATTGGCCACGGAATCCTCGTTTTCCCGCGGAAGGTGACATAGAAGTCGGTTACCAATTTAAAAATAAAGCTGATTGTGTCGCTGCCATTAAGCAATACCACATGAAACACTGTGTGGATTACAAAGTGCTAGATTCCGACAAGAAGAGATACATAATTTGTTGTAGGAATGATTCCTGCAAGTTTCGTCTCGTGGCGTCCTACCGAAAAAGAAGTGAGTTGTGGGAGATAGGCATTATGAACCCACCCCATAGTTGTTCAACAACTTTGTTCAATCAGGATCATCAAAAACTAACCTCGCAGTTAATGTCTCAAAAATTAATGCCTTTTGTAGACAGAGATCCTTCTATTAAGGTTAGTGTTTGCATAAGTAAAATTGTTTCTGAATTCCATTTTACTCCGTCTTACAGAAAGACATGGATAGCAAGAAATAAGGCAATTGAACAAGTCTACGGTAACTGGGAAAGCTCGTACAATGAACTTCCACATTTTCTGTTAGCACTTAAAAAATATGTTCCAGGCACTGTGCTGGAAATAGAAACACTACCCATGCATACATCTGACGGAACTATTGTTGAAGGGAAACACATCTTCCACCGGCTATTCTGGGCATTCCAACCATGCATCAGAGGTTTTGCGTATTGCAAACCTATACTTCAAATTGATGGAACCTGGTTATACGGTAAGTACAAGGGTACACTGCTTATCGCAGTTGCACAAGATGGGAACAGCAACATATTTCCGGTTGCTTTTGCCCTTGTGGAAGGTGAAACCGCTGAAGCCTGGGGTTTTTTTCTGAGAAACTTAAGGAGGCATGTGGCCCCACAACCAGATCTATGTTTAATTTCAGACCGACATGCCTCAATTGAAAGTGCATACAACAATGTGGAAAATGGTTGGCAGGATCCCCCTTCAGTGCATGTTTATTGTATCCGACACATTGCACAAAACTTTATGAGAGAAATCAAGGACAGGAACCTACGGAAAAAAATAATTAACATGGGTAACTATATTTCTTAATATTCATTAAATTTTGTCAATAACATATATTATTTTGTCAATATTTTAATTTGATATTTTAATTATTCAGGATACGCTTTAAACCAGCCAACATTTCATTACTATCGGTCAGAGATTAGCATGGCAAATGCAGATGCTTTAAGGTGGATTGACAATATTCCAGCCGAAAAATGGACAAGGGCATTTGACGGCGGTCGACGTTGGGGTCACATGACTACCAACCTTGTCGAGTCAATGAATGCCGTTTTTAAGGGCACACGTAATTTGCCGATTACGGCATTGGTAAGGGCAACGTATTATAGACTAGGATCTTTATTTGCTGAAAGGGGTGGAAAGTGGAGTGCTGTGTTGAATTCTGGCCAAGCATTTACAGACAACTGCCTCAAGGTTATGAAAGAAGAAACAACAAAATCCAGCACGCATCAAGTAAGAATTTTTGACTACAGGAACAATGTTTTCAGTGTGCAAGAGACAATGGACCATGGTGAGGGGAAACCTATGGGACATTATAAGGTCGACCTCTTGAACGGGTGGTGTGACTGCGGAAAGTTTCAAGCATTTCGTGTCCCTTGCTCACATGTTATCGCTGCATGTTCGAATGTGCGCCACGACGCTTACACTCTTTTGTCCGACGTTTATAGGGTTACAAACCTATTTGGGGTTTACAGCGCAAGTTTTCCAGTGATGCCATGCGATGAATATTGGCCTGTTTATGAAGGAGATCAAATTTGCCATAACCCAAGAATGCGGAGGAACAAGAAAGGTCGCCCTGTAAGCACACGTATTACAACAGAAATGGATAACTTTGATAAGCTTGAGAGGAAATGTTCCATGTGTCGTCAAACGGGACACAATCGCACCCGGTGTCCCAATGTGGGAACAAGTAGTCGTTAGTCCTTTTTTTAATCATCATGTATTAATTAATATTAGTTAATAATTTCAATCAATATAAATTATGTCTTCAATATATAAATTTAAATTAATATTAATAATAGTGTCACATAATACATATACTAATAAATACTAATATTATTAATATTAATGTATATTAATATTATAAATATCATTAATATTAATTATAAAATATATTAATAATATTAACATACTTATATATTATTATTAAAATTATTAATACTTATATTATTAATGACATAAATATTAATATTAGTAATATTAATATATATTAAAATTAATATTATTAATCTATTTTAATAATAATATATATTAATAATATTACATATTAATATTTAAAAATATATATTAAGATATATTTATAATAATATATATTAATACTTATATTATTACTAATATAAATATTAATATATATTAATATTATTAATATTAACATATATTAAAATTTATATTATTAATCTATTTTTATAATAATATATATTAATAATTATATATATTAATATTTATATATATTAATATTTTTATAATAATATATATTATTATTAATTCAATTAAATTAAGTAATTAAAACTACATACATAATTAAAACGAAAAAAAAAATTTGGGATGCACTCTACCGCCCAATGAATGGGCGGTTCTCCTTCATTTTATTCACTGCCGCCCATTGCAAGTGCGGGCATGCTTATATAAAAATTTAGTTTTGTTTGAAAACATGGTATTTCAGTATATACTGTGAAATTGATGGCATTTTGGTGAATACATCCTAAAAGTATGGCAGGGTGGAAAAAAATTCTCGCGAAACATGCCGAATGCAAAAATATATAATATTGATATTCTAGAACACCCTCCGGATATTGAATTCTGATATATCTTTGAAATCAAAATTTAAAAACCACAAAATCCATTAGAAGATCTTTTGCGTGAGAAAATCTCTCAATTTCTACT